ACTGCCAGCCTCTGCATTCCTTCACCACCTCCCAGGAATACATCTCCTCCTCCTCCTCCTCTTCTTTTTTTTTTGGAAAGGAAGGGTTTTTTTTGAGCTTATGTTTCCAAGGACTAAGAGCCCATCATGGCAGGGAAGGATGGAAGGAAGCAGCAAACGTGGTGGGTGGCTGGGACAGAAGCAGAAATCAAATCTTGAACCAAATTAGAAAGCAGAGAGCTAACTGAGTTCATGGCTTTTCAAACCTCAAAACTTGTGCCCAGTGACATACTTCCTCCAGCAAGACCACACCTCCTACACCTACTCAAACAACATTTCTAACTGGTAATCAAGTATGCAAACATTTGAGCCTTTGAGGGACATTCATGGACCACACCATGAAAGGCAAACAGTATCTGAAATACCTCAGCAGCAACTAGGTGGTAAAGTAAATGATATCAGGGAGAGATAATTGAATAGGATATATGAAATCAAAAGGCAAGGGCTGTAGAGCTGGTTCAGTTACTATAAACACGAGCTGCTCTTGCAAAGGACCCATGCTCAGTTCCTAGCATTTACATATCAGCTCTCAATCTTCTGTTCTAGGGGATCTGGTGCCTTCTTTTGGCTTCCTCAGGCACCTGGCATCATGAGATATACTCATATGTTTGAAGGCAAAATGCTCAAAAACATAAAAGAAGAATTAAAAAAAAAACTTAAAAAGGAAATCTGAAGGCAATGGAAAATACTTGCCAATCCTCCTGTGCAAAGGTCTCTAAGTATCAATAGAAACTTACTTATACTACACCATGAATTTAGATGAACTTTTGGAAATAGACATGGATAAATAGAAAGTGCAGATATCTTGGACCTTCTGCAGTGTGGGTATGAAGCTACCCTTTTTGCTTTATTGCCTCTCAAACACTTCCCTTTACCTAGGAATACACTTCTTATCCTCCAGTGAAAGACATGGACATGGAACTTAGTCACCAGAGCCCATGAGACAAGGTGGCAGACAGCATTCAACACTTGAAAATTCTTCCTTAAAACTGCCTTCCAGGTAAGTAAGCAAGTGAAGGCACTTGCTACCAAGCTTGGCAACCTGAGTTTGATCCTTGGGATAAAAAAGGTAGAAAAGGAGAACTGATTCCCACTTGTCTTCTGACCCCCCCCCCCCCAACACACACACACACACCATGGCATGCACACACTCATACATATACACACACTAAATAAATACATACATAATAAATGTCTTTTATTTTTGAAACATTGCCTACCAAGGAATTCGATCTTTGTTGGTTGGCTGTATTTTCCTTGATATGGGAGAAAGGTATTAGTTTAGAAACTAAAGTCCCAGACATACTTTAACTTTCTTACACTCTGTAAAGTACAAGAATCCCGCTCACACCTTACTCCCAACACCCAATGAACACACTTGCCCACATAAGAAACACCAACTCTTCAAGTCATGTCTGGATGACTTCAAGGATGCACAGACAAGGGATGATAAGCACACAAAGCCATTTAAAAGGTATGGTTGGTGTTTAGAAAAATGCATTTAAAATATTGAATAAAATTTTATATTAGCAAAGTAGAATGAAAACTTCTGTTAATTTCTAAAGTCAAACAAATTCAAATAAATTTTGAACTTAACATAGCTGCACCTTTGTGTGTAATATGCAGACCTTACACGCCTACCTCTCTACAATTTTGAAGCTAAGTGGAATAGCCTGCTAGTCACTACTTGAAACAATTTTGCCTTGGTCTCTCTGAAGCGCCTATCTGGGTTGTGTATTCAGCTCATGACTTGGTACACATCTGTGCCATGAAATAAAATAAGAAAACAAGTCATAAGAGATATGCAACAAAAATGATGAGATAATTCTTGACAATTGATTTGTGGTCGGATTTGCTTTAAAAGCAATTATCCTTATCTCTACTAATTCAGAATTGATTCAAGGCAATCTGGGGATAGAGGCATAGTCTAACTCTCCCAGAAAGTCTAAAAACTTAGATACCCTTTAGAACTACCATCAATTGTTGGAGATTTAGCGCAGTGGTAGAGCGCCTGCCTAGCAAGCACAAGGCCCTGGGTTCAATCCTCAGCTTCAAAGGAAAAAAAAAAAGAACTACCATCAATCAGGCTCATTTAATGATGCAGATGGCCCCATCACGCTCTTCTCCAATTGTACATCTTCAGAGGCTTGCCCCAACCATCTGACCTAATGTAGCCCCCTCTCAGTGCCTCTATTAGTATTTTAGTAGTGTTTATTTCCCATAAACAATTACATAATTTGTAGCAAACTAATAGTTACTTTTTAATTATCATTTAACCCTCCAGGAGAGATAGACAACAATCTTGTCTGGTTCGTCTACTGCCAACCCTGCCTGCACCTCCACTGTCATGCAGTAAAACCTTTTTGAATGAAAGTTGGCTTCGTGGTCTTTTCCAATCAACAGAAAGCATTCTCCCCAGAACTCTAAAATGCTAAGTCATTCACATCTTAAAGCTATCAGAATCCAGTCCTCTTCTATGTACTTAACAAAACACCGGAGGTTCACTGTCTTTCCCAAGGTAACTTTAGGAGCACAAGTTTGGGATGGAGCCAGGGTTTGACTTCCATCTTCCTGTCTCCCTCTCCAGGTGGCTTTCCAAACCAAGCTGTCATTTCTTTAATCTTCCTACAGCATGTATGAATGACGTCGAACACATAGGGAAACCTAACTCTCTGCTTCTTTTCCCATAAACTGCCTTTTCTGTTGTTATTCTGCCCAATATGATGGAGAAATGGCCCAAGACACTGAACCCTGTGAAGGAAGCTGACCTGTTCTATCATGTGGAGGGGAGAGGAGACTCCACTCTAATCCAGTCCTATTCCACAGTGACTTGGAAGACCAACTGTGCTGCTAACACAGTGATAGCAGAGTCCGTGTATTCATGACAATGCCTGACAACAACCTGAAGGAAATGTTTTCTCTTCTGGTCCCATCACACATCCACAAAATGAGTGAGTGTGATCAACAGTACTTGTACATACTTTTCTCAAAGAAGCTACGCTTTTGGTTTAGGGAAGTCTTTTTTTCTGGAGGGGCTGAACATCAGAGACTCAAGTCAGTATCTTCTGTGTGCTAGGTACATGATCTCCCATTGTGCTGTAAACAGTGAATCTCACCCTTCCTAATGCTGTGACCTTTTAATTCCAGTTCCTCATGCTGTGGTGACCCCCAACCATAAAATCATATTGTTGGTACTTTATAACTGTATTTTCCTACTGGTATGAATTGTAAGGTGAATATCTGTGTTTTCTGATGGTCTTAGGCAACCCCTGTGAAAGGGTCATTCAGCTCCAAAGGGGTCATGACCCATAGGTTGAGAACTAGTGTGCTATGCACTCAGCCTAAAGCAGTGGTTCTTAACTATTGGAAAACATGTTTCTGATGGTCTTAGGAACTGAGGCACTGCTCAGTAGCAAAATTACAGTTATGAAGTAGCAATGAAAATAAATTTATGGTTGTGGTTTCCTAAGACTACTGGAAATATGTGTTTCTGATGGTCGTGACCCACAGGTTGAGAACCACTGGCTTAAAGGTTAGGTTTAAACTCAAATGACCAAGGGGAAAAAAGTATACATACATACATACATACACACACACACACACACACACACACACACACACAGAAAAATTATCTGGAGTGACAAAAACACAAGCATGTGTAATTAACTGCAGTCACAGAGTCCTATGGAGTCACAAGTCATAAGCTTCTACAGAGTCCCTTTGCTTAGACATTCCCAGCAGTCATAAAACTCAATTAGTGTGTACTGTCAGCAACTCAAGAAGAACTATTTATAAGCAATCAAAAGGAAGCTATGTGCAAGTTGGGCATAGTGGTACGTACCCACATTCCCAGCATTTAAGAGGTATAGGCAGAAACGTCAAGAGTTCAAGGTCAACATAATGGGTGAGTTCAATGTCACCCTAGGGTAAATAATGGGTTCTAGGCTATTGTGGGCTACGGGCTTTATGAAACCCAGTCTCAAAAACAAAACAAAACTGGACCAGAAACATTTTTTAAACATAATAGTTTATAGTAAAAATCAGTGACATTCTTGCCTCTGGAAGAGTTTTTAATTAGTTAATAGACACATAAATTCTACACAGCATTTAATTCAATAGCCCCAATACTCTCAGTTTTCACTCCAATCACACGGAATTAGCATATGGATTTCAATATTAAAAAAAACCCTCATATTTCATTTGAGGTACTACAGGGAGAACTCAGACTAGATTCTTTTTAAGTTATTTGTAATTTAAATAGATAGTTTTAAATAGTCCTTTTTAGAATGGACACGGTGTTAAACACAGTTAAAGGAAATAATTTAGTGAGGAAAGTCTCCTTGTTTTGCAAGGAGGTGTTTCTTTAGAGGTACCAGCCGGACACAGAACAGATGCTTGCTTAAGTGTTCAGAAACAAATGTAGCCACAGTTGGGGTTCTGGTCTGAGCAGGAAGGCAGTAGCAAGAGGCGACTGACTGTGCTTCAACACACACAAAGGTAAGTCAAGGCACACTCTTCTGCCAGTGCTGAAATAGGATGCTGTGGAAGAAAGTAACCTTCAGCTCTGTTAAAAATGGGAGCAACAGGAGTTGACGACACATAAGACTTGTGTTTGACAAATACCAGCACCTTCATAGGGGTGTCTGTCATTTTCTCAGGAATGCCCATATGAACTGCCAACAAATGCAGAATGAAATAAACGTTGAGACATTTGAAATACAAATTTGAAAACAGTAAATTGAGCATGCTAATTTTTATTGCTCTAAAATGTATCTCAGTTGCCTTGTTATATTACATTGCTTTTATTATTTTTAATAAATTGTTATATTATTTTAAAAGTTAAATGTACTACCTTTGTTTGCTTATATGCATAAAGCCATGTTAAATAACACTAAGATAATTTAATTTCTAAATAAAGCACAGTGTAGTTCTCTGCCTCATACAGTGGGAAGTGCACCTACCTGCGCTGACTTCCTTTTCCTCCTCCTCGATGCTGTTTCTGATGCTGTCATACTCCTCATCAATAGTCTGATTGCCACGCATCTGAGACAAAATTCTGCGGGCCTTCTGAGTCTGTCCTTTCTGAATAAGCCAGCGAGGGCTTTCAGGCAAAAAGAGAAATCCAAGGAACTGTATAATGGCTGGAATTGCTGCAAGTCCCAACATGTACCTGCAATAAGAAGTATACCAACCTTGTGAGATTGTTCTTAGAGCACTGGGTATATATCCACTGTGGCGTCTAACAGCATTGAGTATGCACTTACCACAGGGTCTAACCGTCCTGAGTGCTCGCTCATTCGACAAGGAATCTAAATACATGGAGCACGTACTTCCCAGAGTGCAACAGCACTGAGTCCGCGCTCATTCACAGGAGTATAACAACACTGAGTGTGCACACTTCCCAGAGTCTAACAGCACTCAGTACACACAACAGAGTCTGACGTCACAGAGTCCACATTTGCACAGAATGTGACAGCAGAATCCACACACATTCCCGAGAGTACAAAAACACTGAGCGTGCACACTCTCAGGAGTCTGACAGCATTGAGTCCCATACTCCCCAGAGAACCTCAAATGACCGAGTCCAAATATAAACACTGGGTGGACACTCCCTGAAGTCCAACAGCACTGAGCACAATGTACCAAGCTTTTTATTTGGGGCCACCAACCAGCTCCCACATCATGACATGGAGACTTCTTATTAGTTATGAATGCTCGTCCTAGATTAGGCTTATTTCTGGCTAGCTCTTTTAACTTAAATTAAGCTGTTTCTCTTTATCTACCTTTTGTCTTGGGACTTTTTACCTTCTGTCTATCTTACTTTCACTGCTTCATATGCCTGTCTGTCTGGAGGCTGCCCGGCTTCTTGTCCCCGGCACGTCCCTCTCCCTCTCCTTGTTCTCTTCTTTCATTCCTCTCGAGCCTAGATTTCTCCTCCTGTTTATTCTCTCTCTGTTGGCCTGGCCCGTCTATCCTTTCTCCTGCCTACTTATTGGCCATTCAGCTCTTTATTAGAGCAATCAGGTGCCTTAGGCAGGCAAGGTGAAACAAATGCAACGCATCTTTACATAATTAAACAAATGCAACACATCTTTTCATAATTAGACACACAGCCTTACAGCATTAAACAAATGCAGCATAAACAAATGTAACACACCTTTACACAGTTAAAGTAATATTCTGCAGCATAAACAAATGTAACACATCTTTACCTAATTAAAATCATATTCCACAACATACATATTTACAAAAGAGTCTAACCAAACCGAATACACACTCACCAGAGTCCACCAGCACTGAATACACACTCACCACTGAGCCTAATAGTACTAGTGTGTTCTCATTTGCCAGAGTCCAAAAAACACTTAGTGTGTACACCTTGGAGTCTGATATAACTGAGTGCACACTCGCCATAGTCTAAAAACACTGAGTGTGTACTCCTCAGATTCTAACAGCACCGTGTACACACTTACCATGGAGTTCAACAGCAGTGAGTGTGCATTAATTCACCATAGAGCCTAAAAACACTGATTTGCACTCCTAAGATTCTAACAGAACTGAGTACATAGCACAGAATCTAAAAGCACTGTGTGTATAGTCATTCACCAGAATCTAAATACCCTGTGTGCACTCCCCAAAGTCTAACAGCTCTGAGTGCGCACTTGCCAGAGAATGTAACAGCAGTGAGTACACACCCCAGATTCTAACAGCACTAAGTGCTCACTCATTCACCAGAGTGTAAAAGGAGGACATGCTCCTCAGAGTCTACACTACTGAGTACACACTCACCAGAGTCTAACAACAGTCAGTGCACACTCACCACAAAGCCTGAGAACACTGAGTACATACTCACTCCAGAGTCTAACAGCAATAACCGTACACTTAATTACCAGTCTAAAAACACTGTGTGAGTACTCTCCCAGAGCAGTGATTCTCAACTTCCCTGATGCTGCGACCCTTTACTACAGTTCCTCATATTGTGGTGACCCCCTAACCATGAAATTATTTTCATGACTACTTCATAAATGTAATCTTGCTACTGTTATGAGGTGTAATGTAAATATTTTTGGAGTTAGAGGCTTGCCAAAGTGGTGGCAACCCACAGGTTCAAAACCGCTGCTCTAGAGTCTAGCAACACTGAGTACATACTCATCACAGAATTTGGTGTTTGTGTGGAGCACAGAAATATTTAATAATTATTAACTAGTTTTATTCACTAGAAAAGAAATGTTACTTTATGCTGTGCTGAAACTGAAAAATGAGAAAAATAATTTCTTTCATACAAATTATAATTTTGCAATAATAGGCAAACGTCATAATTATATTTCCACATTCTAAATCAAACAAATCATGCAAAGCACCATGACAGCCCTCCGTATATAACATGTCCAATATACACAACAGAAGTATAGTGTGCAATGCCTCTGTGTCTCCTGTCGATACAAATTCCATGCATAAGTTCCAAGGCAGGTGAAAACAGAGCTCCTATGGTCTGGATAAGTGTCTCCTAAAAGCTCCATGCTGAAGGCTTCTTTGCCAGCCTATGTTGCTATTGGGAGAGGGTAAACCTTTAAGAAGCGGGGGCTAGTGGGAGAAAGTCTGTTGACTGGGGAATTCTCTCAAGGGAGCTATTGGGACCCCAGATCTTTCCTCTCTCCTTTGGGCTCCTAGCACCCATGAGGTGATCAAGTTTCTTCACAATGAACTGTAGTCATGATGTCCTGCCTTGACACAAAAACTTTGAGCCAAAACAGACCTTTCCTCCTGAAGAGTGTAGTATCTAGGGTGTGCTGTCGCCACAAAAGCAGAGAACTAACCCCGGATTAGGAGTTATCTGATACAATGTGTACTTTTCATGAGACTAAGTGCCTGAAATTGCTTCCTTTGTGTTTTGTTAACAGTTTTTGTTTGTTTTGCTTTGTTGTCTGAAATATCGTCTTGCTATATTTAGCCCATACTGGTCTACAACTTGTGGTCTCCGTCCCTCTCTCATAAGGTCTAGGATCACAGAGATAGCCATCATGCCTTGTAACAAGTTTTTCCTTAATAGTTACTTCTGCTTTTTGAGTAATTATTTTTTTAAGTAATTTCCCTATTTCATTTTGCTGTGAGGCATCAGGTTCACCATGATTAAGGAATAAATGGCTTAAAGCAGAGAGGATGGAAATAGAAACAAATAATTGTGACCAAATGGCTAAAAAACAGAAAAAATTTAATTATCCGTTATTTTCTTTTAAGTGTGTACTCTTATTGACTGGGAAAATGATAAAAAAATAAATAAAAACATAAGCAAAATGTTGGTTTGTTTTCACCAAAGAAGGAACAAACATTATAGCATGAGTCCAGATGTCCATACCAAGACTTCTTCAGAAAGGCTTCCTAATGACTCCAACTAAAGTGGCTGGGTTAAATTTCCAGGTCTCTGCAAGTGGAATTTCCATGAATACAGGACACCCTCATGTCTCCCGATGATACAAATCCCATGCATACATTCTAAGGTAGATTTATGATGACAAATGTCAGAAGGCCACTTCATGCTCATAAGCAGCCCTAACCACATTTACAACTTAATGAAAGGTCCTCTGATTTGATGTGCTTTGCAAAGACAGTCTATCTTTTAAGTCACGCTAAACCCATAGCAAAGCGATTTAAAGGCTCCCAGAGAGAGATCTCATGATGTAAGGCAACTGCTTTCTATGCAATTGTGTTTTAATTCTAAAAACAAAAGAGGAAAATTATAATTATGATTTGGGTATTAAGAATACCACTTACTATAAACTGCACAATAAACCTATAGGTAGAATCAGAAAAAAAGTAAGATTCAGAGAGTGAACAAAGTATTTATGAATGAATGATGGAGCAGATGACATAGGCTTTAGTGCCTGTGCTGTGTGATTATACCAACACTTAATGCCTCCGTGCAGCTCACAGAGGATATATTTCTTATCACAGTTTAGGCATGCTGCTCCACCTCGATGTCTATCATCTTAATTTTCACATTCCCTCACTAGCAGAGTCCTGGCAGTGAAGCATCTTGCACATAGATGTCATCTGGTAAACATTTTATGAACTGAAAGGCTAACAGCTATGCACTGAAACCTCTGTTATTCCACAGAAAGTAACTATGTGCAGACTCACGTAGCAGTATTTCAGGTAGCAAGTCTTCTAGATCATTTAGCTCTGCAAAATTACTTGCCCAGTAACCCTCCTGAACAAAACACTGTTAACTCTAGATATGATCAGATCCTCTCTCTTCAAGCAGCGGTCTTCAGATGAGAACTAGGGAGATCAACTCACATAAATATATTTGCTTGGCTACTTCTCCTTAAGATGTTAATATATACAACCAAATTTCTTATTTAAGTGAGCATTTTATTGCTGTAAATAAATGGGAGTTATAGCTTCTTTTAAAGAATGCAGAGGATCTGTTGGGCTAGAAGAGCAGTTCAGAGCACATATGTAGTGAAGACTTGGGTTCAATTCCATAGCATAAAACAACTCATAAGCAACAATAAAAAAGTGGCTATCCTATACTATTAATTATTTAAAAAAACAGGCTTTTATCTTCTAGTATATATTAAATATATTGGGTTAGGAATTAAATAAGATTCACCCATAGATAAAAACTTTCCTGTTTCATTTTCTGTCTTTGGAATGACTACAAAGCTGCAAAAATAAATATGGAAACTGTATCATCTTCAGATGCAAAATGTACACATAATTCTCTATACTTTGCTACTTGCTATTAAAGCTGAGTATAATATTTTTATAATTTTTTTTTTTTGAGACAGGGTTTCTCTGTGTAGCTTTGTGCCTTTCCTGGAACTTGAATTGTAGACCAGGCTGGCCTCAAACTCACAGAGATCCGCCTGCCTCTGCCTCCCGAGTGCTGGGATTAAAGGCATGCGCTACCACCGCCCAGCTAATTTTTATAATTTTTATAATTTTTTTATAAATTTAAAAAAATGGGAGAGAAGAAAAGAAAGATAGAAAAATAAGGAAAATGCAAACTTAACATGAACCCATGCATAAGTGGGCTGTGGAAGCCAGAATGCTTTAGACCCAGAGCCCTTTGGAATAGGACATTTCAAGAGCCGGGTGTAAAACTCTTAAGCCTGTACAGCAGGAGGGACAGAGAGCTGCACCCTCTGCCAGTCTTTCTCTTTGCAA